AAGAATGAGTTAGGCTACTTGGTTAGCAGTCCATCAAAATGGACCACACCCCATGTTACATAACAATAACACTATGGGTCCCGTCCCACCCCGCCCCATACCAGCTTCAGTTTTATGCATTCTGAAGATGGTTAAATCAATTGGCCTCTAGATCAGCCACCATACTTGTCACTGGGTATTTGTCAAGCTTAAAAACACTCCTACATTCATCAAAGAACAGGGTAACTGGGTAAGTGCACCAACTTGCCTCAGTAAAAAGTCAAGAAACTTATTCATTCCATTCACCATCCAATGCACAGAAATGAAGATCGTAAGGTACCAAGCCTTGAAGAAACCGATGAAACTTGGCTAAATTTCCTTTCTCTATGCTATATCTACAACTACAAATGAAACTGATTCATACAACATGGAGCCACAAGAAGAAACATTGAGATTGTGGAACTTACAACCTTTGCATAATAGACATTTTATGTTAAATAACATGAATATTCATAACAGAATCCACCAGGAGAGAGGAACATTAAATGATCCCTCGTCCACGAAAAAAAATAGCAGGCTTTACAGGTAAAGAAGAAAACTCTTCAAAAAATGAATAATTAAAACTTCGAAGAATTGGAGTCTTCAACTGTATATGAATGTGGCATCTCCTACCTGATCTGCCTGCCTTTATTACCAATTATTGATACCTAAAGCAAATATTATGTGGACTATCTCGTGATCACTTTGTGCTCCTCTTCTTCATCTATGTATTTATAACGCATTCTGCTCCTTCCAACTCACAAGGGACTTCAGGAATTCTTTAACCTGCGCATACAATGTCAAAGCATCTTTTAATCTGGATAGGTAAAAGATAGATGATATGAAAATCAACATGAACACCACAGTGAAACAGAATAGAATATCTAACTAAAATAAGGGTTTCAACCTCTGAGGGGTCCCTGAGAGAGAAGAATGCATTGCTTTCTTTCGGGGCAGATGATACTAGGATCCCATACCCTCGATTCCCTTCCCTCAATACCTGGTATAGTATTAATACATTGGCAATTAGAATTTAGAAGATCAAATATATCGTCCATAAATAGACATACAGCCACACAGAATCACCAATGGAATGGCAGTAGTGCTGCTAATACCTTGAATGCATCTTCATCTGTCCTGTCATCACCAATATAGATTGCAAGCACATCGGCACTATTACTTAGTCCTGCAAAATTTCGTGTAATTGTACAAATAAACAGATTGAGACTATCTGATATTGAAAAACCAATACAATTTGCACATATTTGTGATGGACAGATAAGTTAACTTACCCAGTGATTCAAGCAGAAATTCAACTGCTTTACCTTTATCCCATTCAATTACAGGACGGACCTCTAAAACCTATGAAGGAGAAGAAAGCCAATTGTTGTATTTGTATATAAGGATGTGGAAGTTCAAAAATTTAATAGCAAGATCATATTCAATTCAGTTCTAGAAGAGTAACAGTATACTTGCACATAGTGGAGGAAAAAATATCATTGGTACCAAAAGTTAGCTAAGTAATTACCTTCCGCCCATGAGTTAGTCGTAATCGAGGGTAATCTTTCAAGATGTCATGAACACACTGTGCAACTGTAGGCCAACTCTGAAATTCAACAAAAAAAAATATAAACTCCTCTACTTCTGAGCCAAACTAGCCAGCATAAAGAACATTGCAAGTTAATATGATCATGAAGCTATAAATAATCCAGCACTACTCACTTTGTCATCTACATTACGGTAATGTACAGAGGCACAAAATTTATGGTTCTCAACTTTTGCACCTTTGATATCTTTAGTATTCTCGACAAGGGTTCTAAAAACCTGCAAAAATATTGAGAATAGTTTTCTTCCTGTTATTTGAGAGTGGCTGATTCCTTTAATCACATAGTAATGGATCCAAACAATTACACACCTCGTCAATCATAGGTAAAAATTCACTAGCAGGCTGGAAAAGGTTTACCTCCATGCCCTACACAAGAAAATAAAATAGTTATACCAAAATATGAAGTTTGAAAGAGAAGAATTTGAGATCGAGAGAGAGAGAGAGAGAAGAATTCAACAAAGCATAATCGCTATCCCCTCGGGGGTGCAAGCATAAGAGAAAATTCCGAAAGGATTTGTAATCTCGCACCTGCTGGTCAGCAGATTTAACACAAGTTGAATGGTGAGTGGACAATTTGTCTCTGTCAGGGAAAATAATGTCCATTCCATGACTACCAGCATAATAAAGTTCTGTTAGTCCTACCAACTCAAAAACCTGGGGAAATTTTTTTCTGATCAGACCCTAATCACATCCTAAAAAAATTGCAATACTGTCAAATTAAACAAAAATCAAATTTAAAGTTTTCAATAAAGTATCAATTCAGGTAGAAGTTCCTCCATCCACCTTATCACGGCTTCTTCCACTGATAATTGCTGTCGAAAAATACTTTGCCACATTCCTAACAGCAGAACGCATCTGACAAAGAATTGTTTTATTCAACCAAGACATACAAATGAAAATGCATAAAAGAAGAAACTTACATGCATGGAAACGACAAGCACAGAGACACTTACATCATCAGACATAAAAGCACAATCAGGGTCATCTACAATTGGAGAAAGAGTCCCATCATAATCTAAAAACATTACTATCTTCTTACCCCTCGCACAATTTACAATGTTCTCAAACGAATTAATGACTGATGGATGCTTGACCTGCGCAACCAGCAATTTTTTGTCAAATAATCATTGTCTGTTTAAGTGGAAGGAATTTGAAATTATTAGACACAAAAAGATACCAAACATACCATCCAAGAGTTGTAAGCAACATCACTATCATCTGAAGCAACCTCGACATTAAAATCCTTTAGTATCTTCTTGCGAGGAGGTGAAGAAGATTTCATGGCATCAAGCCAACCATTGGATCGAACATCATCGAGCTTGCTAGGCTTCTTTCGAGGAATTGTTAACACACTAGTAGAGAACGATGATCCAGACTGTGAGCAAGGCAACAGACTAGAATGAATGCCTAGTCTGGATTTGTTAATGGGTGCAGCATCAGTGAGAATGGGAGAAGCTTTTGTCGACTTCAAGTCCATGGCATCCAAATTACTTGCACGGGAATAAACTGTCCGTGTGAGTTATGATGTTTTACTGCAGCTTGGCAAGAGGATAGAAACAACTCTTTTACCCAACTCTTTTGTCAATGAAAAACCACCTCTTCAGAGTTTTTTTGTCACAGCTGTTGCGTGAGCAATCCATCAACCGCAGGCTTCTTGAAATCTGATAACGCAGTAGTGAAAATGTTAAATGTCTATGTATATGATGTGCAACAAAGGAGCCTCTTTATGAACACAAATAATCAAACTGCAGCATACCTCATCTCCAAAGCTATACTGCATTTATACCAGGTAGTTGAACATTGTTTGTTTAAAACCCGTTGGTAAAGCAGTCATATAGAGCCTCGAATACTACCAAAACCAACGTCTGCGCTTGCTGAAACACAACTATCAGGCACTAAACAATCTAATTTTCGCAACATTATAACTTATGATTGTTTGGCAACATTATTACTTATTTTTTTAGTGAAGGAAAGCACAGTTTAATCACGGAAATATTTGGTCACACGTATAACACCATTACATGAGAGCAACTTATGAAAAGACAGTAAAAGAATGGATAGAAGCTAGAAGGACTTCTTGGAAAAACAATATTCTTTAAATTAGATACTATCAAGTATATTGTCCGAGATGAAGATAAGGCAATACTATCACCAGAATAGATCAATGAAAGTTGAACAGACATCTACCTTAACAGAAAAACAACATCAACGATTAAGAACATAACAGTGGTAGTTGTTGTTGCTGTTCCAGTGGTAGCCTAATATGCACAGAACAACGTGCATGATCTAATACCTACGTTTGGTCCTTGATTGTACAGATTGGAGACTCAAGCATAATGTCAAGAAAATCTTCCTTTAACTAAGCTGCAAAACTTCTCTGCTGTCCAACTACTCGTATCTGAATTGTTTCCATCAGCCTTTTACTGCTACAAGGTTGGAAAAAAGATCTCTATTCCATGATGTTCCAAATCTCTACTAAACTTGCCAACAGTTGGCATAGCTTGGGATCGATTTCTATTCCACACAGAAATTGATCTCCCCCCAGAATCAAAAACGTTATACATAAGATCTGGGCCGCCGTCCAAAATGTTGTGGAGGACAATCTATACACTCATACTCAACACAAAAACCCAAAATTAGTAAGAAGAATTCCTTTAATATTGAGCTTATATCACTACAATAGAAATTCGAACCGAAATCCCAGCTTCAATGCTTGCCCAAATTAATCTAAAACCAAGAGGATTGTAGCTTTCTGTAAATCATTTTTTTGACCTCACTCAAAAGGGATGCATCTAGTTGCTACATACCTAGATTTAGTCTTACAAATATACTATTTAGCAGCTTAAGTTCATTCCCCAAAAGAACGCATTTCCATAAAACACAGATAAACAATCAACTATAACACCTTGAATGCCCCAAGTTGGCAACATTTATTAATTTAAGCATATTCCTGATATAAAACATGCCCTTTGAGCTATGAACCCAAAAGAACAAAAATATCATTTTGCTTGGAAACCTGATTTATCAATTCTGAATTAGAGCAACCATAAACACATATAGAAAAACCAACTGTTTTTAAACAAGAAAAGAAAACAAGACTGGAAACAAACAAAAATAATAATCGTTTAGGCCAAGCATATTATTGCCTTATTGGTGTAGTGACATAACTCTACAACTACCAAAAACTTGAAACCTCACCAGCTCTGTGTGTGTGTGTGTGTGTGTATAGAGAGGGCGAGGGAGAGAGAGAGAGGAATACATATAAAGAGAAATCTATAGGCTTAACCATTTCTAGATAAAACATGATCAACCAATAACTCAATATTCATGAATAGAGATCACTCAGTTAGATTACGGCTGCCGTTCCAGATGGATAATCACACATATAGGATTTAACTAAATAAACTTAAAAACATAACTAATTAAAAAATAAAACTAATTATTTCAATGGCCAAATAGTCGGCTTTTTGGATAAATATGGAATTGGACAGGCCTCCAATTCTCCCTTAGATCTTTGACTTAAAAAAATGATGTTATTACATGCTAAACGGCAAGTAAAAACAGCTGTTTGGAGGGCGTTAATTACAAATATTGGATATGCTGACTTTTTTAATAATTCCATGGTAACTGGTAAACCACCAAAACTGATTAAGACACATAATCAAAATTCCAACATCTTCCATAGTCATCAGCAACCGACAAAACAATATTCTAATAACTAAAAGACAGAAAAAAATTAGACAATTGTGCTTCAAATCATGATACATGTATATATGTATACACATACATAAACACAGATACAGCTAAATACGCATATATAGACAAGTTAGAATATTCAGAAATCTAACTCATCAGATATATATGCCGTCCAAATCTATAACAAGATGAAAGAACTCTTTCTCACGTGTAAGAAGATGAAATATGATACTGGTTTGGTTTGTGGCCCAAAAAGAAAATAAAGAAAAGCCATAGAAATTTAACAACTTCGCAAAAAAAAAAAAAAAAACCTATAAAGAAAAGCCATTATAGGCAGCAACTAGCAACAAAGAAAACCCACCATTCAAGCTGTGTATCGGAAGGCATATCTGCCTAACTCCAACAGCATTGCATAATATACCCAATAAAGTTCTTTATCTTGAAAGGGGAAAGAAAAAAAAAAAGAACCAAAGGAATCAGAAACTGCAATACCTGTATGAAAGACAAAATCTCCCGACAAAACACCAACTCAACCGGTTCTTAAAAATGCAGCTCTCAGATTCAAAACCCAAAACCCATAAAATCTGCCAAAGTATTTGAATTAGATAAAACGAAAGAGATCCAAACGAGACCCAATAGAAAATGAACCAGAAAACATGGGGAGAGAAATGGATCTACCTCCAAAATAGAGGCTGGAACAGAGAAAACCCTAGAATAGCAAAAGAAGCTGCGGAAAATCGTGGGGAGAGAGAGAGAGGGAGGAAATTGAGGGGCGAAAAGGCTGGGTATTTATAGCGTTTGATAACCCATAAAAAGACGTGGCCAACAAGGCAGCTCACTGGCTGTTGAATTGGAAACAGACTGTTTTTACCAAATCAACTTTTCGCTAATTATAATTCCCGTATAGTTAAGTGTTAATGGTGACGAATTATTGGAATTTGATTTAGAATCGAGCTCAACATTGTATAATATGTAGATCCACATAATAAATTGATGTGTACAAATTCAATCCAATTGTATAAAACATGAACCTAGTTCAATATATAATTTTAATCTATAATATAAAATAGGATAATTGGGCAAACTTTAATAAATTTATTCGACGATTTTAAATATATTCATTCAACGGCTGTCAATATTCTTATGAAAATTATTCACATTACACTGTACTTTTAGATACGGATTATCTTCAATACTGTATAAATAAAATACTAACTCAACAATCATAAATTTATAAACAATACTATATAGAGTTAATTTTGGAACTAAATTTATTATATCCATTAAATTAATAATATATTTTAATATTAAATGGAGTCTAGTTTAAAGTTCTAATCAATGAAATATTCACGGGTATATAATAGCATTATACTAAATTTATGGTGTATGTGTTTAATTAATTTGAAACATGACACTGACACGTTTTCGTGGTCCAGGGACATGAATATTGTGACACGTGGTAGGCTGGATGTGAGGCGCGTGACACTGGGCCCCCTGAAAAAGCAGTATGACTTTTGATCCGCCGCTGATTCACGTGTCGAGGAGTCACGTGGCCCACAATCCGAGCTGGCATTTCAGTTTTCTCGATTTTCTTATTTTGAACCATAATGAATAGAGAGATACGGTTAGTTGTTTTATATCGAAAAGATGGACAGAATCTGGTACAATCACGAGGGAGGCCCTCCTACCCATACGCGCGCGAGTGCATTAAATCCTCACTTGCAAGGGAAAATCGCATTTTGTATCCCAAAAAAGTTTAATTCTTTTCAATTTACACCCTTTGTATCATAAAATAGTTGTAATTTGTTGCTATTTTTGTCAAATCCTACTACAGACAATACACATGAATTTGACAGAAATAACAATAAAAGTTAGTGTGGAGATTATATTGCAACTGTTTTATTACATTGAAAATTTAATACGAGAAAATTAATGATTGAACATACAAATCAAGAATAACTTGTATATATGAATTCAATTCATTTTGAGCCTTTTAAATAAGATAAAATTTACGACGTAGATAAATACTCAACATTTTGAAGGGATTGGGTATCTTATAGCAAATACATATAGGCATGTCTCCCCCAACCAAAAAAAAATCTCCCCTCACCCAGCCTTTAGCTAACGCTAACATATTCTTTCTTTTCGATGACGTTTTGATGTGAAAGTTTGGTGCACATATACACCTCTAAATTGACGGGGGAGTTAAACCACATTTGTTTAACATTATTCTAATATAATTAACTCATGGACCATGCAAAAGGGTACAAAAAGAAATGA